CATTAAATAAAAGATAATACTTCCAGAGGGGTAGCCATGTTAGTATGTTGCACCAGAAATAAACAGGAGTCTTGTGATCTCTTGGAGACTAACAGAACTTTATTCAAACATAAATATTTTTGGACTACACAGAGAAAGATTGGGTGGTATCAGACAATATTTTTGATCATTGCTGCCCAACAAACTTTGGAAAGCAAGGATGTGCATTCCTTTCCCTGCCATATGGCATACCATCTCAACTCTGGCCATCCATGCAAGGGATTAATGTGCAAACTGAGCATCTGTGTGTACATATGTTGTTGTCCATTCCAGATTTTATTGAAAAATCAACTGTATGATGTGTGTGTACATAATCTGGAGTTTGTTGAGTGAATGTTTGATACTGGAGCAGGCTCACTGAGTAGGAGGTGTGGGAATCTACATCACTGCTCCTTACCTCAAGTAGCGGAGTGATTGACAGAAGTATCACCTGATCTGGCCTATTGCTCAGGAGGTACAATGTTCCCTCTAAGCAGAATGGTAGCATTAAATTTGTGAGAAAGTCAACATTTGGCTGTAATGTAAGTTAGTTTTTTTAGAATATTACTTCCATAACCTTGTAAAAATCTCAGAATAAATTCTTTTAAATCATATTTAAACTCTATTTTAGGAATAATTTAAACATTATAAGAGAAAATAGAATCAAGTCTACTATATTGGTAGACCTGTCCTTTGGAGAACAGGTCTGCCCACCTCTTTCCACTACATTGGTAGACCTGGCCTTGTACCGGCACCTTGTGCTGAGTCTTAAAAAACAAACCAGCACATGGGGGGGGGGGGGGACTCTTGCAGTCTGCTTTGTTTTTGTTTTAGTGAAATATTACAGGTCAAGTATAACAGAGGAAGAACAATCGCTCTCAGAATCCTGCCTAACCTAACAAAACAGGAAGTTGCTTAAATGTTATCAACCTGCCCAAACTACTTATTTATTCAAATATGTATATCCCACTTTTTCCAGTGACTCAAGGCAGCTTACAAACCATACTGAAAAGCACAATAGAGTTGTGCAAAAAAAAAAAATCATCATTTCCCCCCGGCTCCATTGTAGTCAATAGGCCCCATAGGCTATAATGGAGAATCAATCTGGGGGGTATCTGGGGCTTGGGGGCAATGTTCCCTCTAAGCTGTGGAGTCTTGTGAGCAAAAATTCTACTTTGTGAGCTACTGGCATTAAAGCTGTGAGCGAGTGAGTTGGTTGCTGCATAAATCAGTTTGCTCTGGAGCCCTCCTTCCTGAGCTAAGACAGAAATGTGTGAGCTGGAGGCTAAAAAACTATGAGCTAGCTCACACTAACTCAGCTTAGAGGGAACACTACTTGGGGGGGGCTGTTTTTTTAAAGGTAGAAGCACCAAATTGAACCAGGGGGTCCAATTCTGTGGGCCCCAGAAGGATGTACCTCCATTCTCCATTGTTTCCAATAGAGGGGGAACGTTGTGTGCAGAAGCAGAAACCTCTGAGCTGGCATCTAAAATTTTGTGTGCCAGTGTCCCCTAGCGCACCTTAGAGGGAACTATGTACACTACCATTTGCTGGTTTGACTTCTTGCTTGTTCTTCAATCTCTTTTTGCAGGGGAAGCTTTGTGGTAGTTGGCAACATAGTTGTGGACTCCTCCTTTGTGGAGGCTGGCATGGAAACCAGCTTTGAAATCGAAGCAGGAATAGATATCATCTCCACAGTTCAATTTTCACAGAATCCATTTGTAGTCTGTATAGAGGTGGACAGAACTGGAGCTCCATTCAGGTAGGAAACAAAAGTAGAGGCACCCATTTACTACATGATTTTGTGCTGTCATGTAACGGAGAGGTCTGATTTTGCTCTGTCTTCCTGATTTCTCTGTTACAATGCATAGTATAGGATGACATAGTTATAAATTAGGCTGTGAATCTCTGGGGTCAGCCCCTTCTTATCAGCTAGGAAAGCTACATTTTGCAAATGACGTCCTATGGACAGTAAGTAGCCTTTAGATGATGCCTTATGATATGGGTGTGGGGAGGGGAATAATAATTTGCTTTTCCTGATGACTACAGTGTTTGGGCAAATTTGATGAAGTTAGAAGAGTTCTGCTCTCTCTCAGCCAATGCTTGAATAATTGGGAGAAGTAAAATGGGGGGACCTTTAATTAAATCCATGAGCATCTCACATGTCTTACAACCTTAAATGGAAATGTGGCAGAACCACAGGGGCCAAGGGAGCTGTCACAAAAGGAAGATCATCCTCCTGCTCCTTTGTAATGCAAACATTAAGCTCAGCTGTACCCCGTTTGTAGCCCCATTTACTTTGACCAAAATCTCTACAATTGGTATTACATTCAGAATAATTACCCATATGATAAACATTTTCTATTGCTTTTGCTTTAGTTGTTCGACAAGGTCTTTTTTATTTTTGTAGGGAATACATAACCAAATATGAAAGGCTACCTTCAGGCAAATCTTATACCTCCCGGAAAGGAAAAGCAAGGCTGTTGGAAGGTTCTCAATACCCCCTTCACCAAGAGAACTCCAACACATGCAGAGAAGTTTTCACTGACAAGTCTGACTCCTCAGAAAGCTGGTTTTGAAGCAGATGCTGGATCTTTAATTTTACGAAAACCTTGGCTGACGTCGTTTATGTACTGCACTAGCTTATGGCCCGAATCTACAAGGTTCAAGTCCTTGAAAACTGTACTATCAACTTCAAGAGGCCTAGAATCAAGCCTTGAGTGGGTGCGCTCTGTTTACATATTTACAGATATTTAAGAGGAAACTTTTTTTTTTAGCAAGCTAAGGAAAGAGTACAATGTGATGCTATTCCAAGCACTCACTGAGTATCCCTTTAGAGTTAAATATAAAAACACATCTCTTAACATGGGGTATATATTGGAACCCGTGGTTCTAAAAGGCAGTTTCTAAAAATTCCACAGTAATGATTATCTTGAAATATATCTTGGCTTCATCCTTCAGTCACGTTACTCCATAGCAGACCTATTGAGCCAGTTTGGTGTAGTGGTTGAGTGCTTGGACTCTAATCTGGGAGAACTGGGTTTGATTCCCCACTCCTCCACTTGCACCTGCTGGATGAACTTGGGCAAGCTGTAGTTCTGATAAGAGCTGTTCTTGAAAAAGAGCAGTTTCTGTCAGAGCTCTCTCAGCCCCACCTACCTCACACGGTGTGTCTGTTGTGGGGAGGGGAAGGGAAAGGAATTTGTAAGCCACTCTGAGACTCCTTTGCGTAGTGAAGGGCGGGGTATAAATCCAATCTCTTCTTCTATTGTTGAAGGATTATGGCAATTGTGCCCATTTTTAAAAGCAGATAACAATGAAAACATTATTCTAAATGTAGCCCATAGAATCATGTGTGTAACCCCAGAAGGATTATCTTTTGTTCATCCTGGTTAAAATGAAAAATTGTAGCATAGTATAACTATATTCCTGTACAACTCTCATTCGTCTTCATGGAGTTTGTGTAGATACTCCTGATGAAAGCTTATTTTTAATATGTATGTTGTTGTGAAGTTTGTTTTAATTGAGCTCAAAGAAAGCCTCAGCTAAGACAATATATGGTGAACATATATATTAGCACACATGGTATGAAAAAAGTAACATGCTGTTTTTAGTGGTGTTATCTGAGGGGGTTTTGGATATAGTTGGCCTAGTATTCCTTTTGTTTGTTTCTGGGTTGCTGAAGCAAAAACAGCTCTCTGTTATAACGACTTTTTTGTTGTTGTCATAAATTATTTGCTTTTTAAAAGTACATTGTATACAAACAGTAGATATACTTGATAAAAGATTTGAGAGATGTTAACGTTCAGAGCGCAAAACACAAAATGTTGTTCCTCCTCAAGCAAATATTATTGGTTGACATAGTCTACATCAGTACTTTTAAGGCTCAACCTGAAATGATGTGAAACATGGGATGTCCTCACACATCACAAAATTGGGCCAGAAGATCTGGAAATCTTAAAGCAACAAGTAACTATCTGCTATTATCTTATAGTTATATTTTTGCTAATATGATAGACCAATTATTGTTGGCTATTGTACGAAATTTGATCATTCACAAAGCATCCCATTTATGTTAGATTGTTCTTTGCTATGAGAATGTTTTATTTTTTCAGTTCCATTGCTAGGAAATCTGAAATGGACACAAGTCTCTAATTCATTAATGAGCAATTGTTACATCATCCCATGATAGTAATGGGTGTGCATAGAATCAGCTGTAAGGCTGCCATGGCCCCGGTCACATGGGCCAGATAATGCGGGGGGGGGGAGGCGTGGCTTTTTGCACCGGCGCAATTTAACGCACCAGAACGCGATCAGACGCCGGGGCGGCAAATCGGGGTTTTGTTTGTCGGCACGTGTTTCCGATGGGCGTCAACACGGTGAGAGGAGCGATCACACGTAGGTATTCCATCAACGGCCCGTAGCAAACCATTTGCTAGTAGGCTTTCCCGGGTATTTTTTAACTCTGGATCTTCGGGCGGATGCTACAGGTCGGCGATGGGTGTGCTATGCTTGCCAGATGTGTCCTTGTGATCACGCCCGTATACTCTGCCCGACATTCGTGCCTCTCCCGTGGCAAATCCTCCGTGTGACCGGGGCCCATATTGGATTCATCCAGGGTTGATTTTTTTGGATGGGTAAAATGATAAAGACCATGAGTTTTTGTCCTGCTGGTGGACTTCCTGACGGCAGCCTGAGTTTTGGCCAATGTGTGACACAGTGTTGGACTAGATGGGCCACTGGCCTAATCCAACATGGCCTCTCTTATGTTCTTATGTTCTTAATCAGGGGCAGCTGATTTATATGGGGGAAAGGTGATTATTCACCGTAATTTATTAATTTAAGAATGACTAGAAGACACTATTGACAGATTTTGCTTCCTTCTAATCTGGACTATACACAACATATCTGAGGTTTTCCTGCTGTGATCTTGGTAGTTCTCTTCCTTTTGCCCTGGATCTCCTTATATTTACCTTTAATATAATAATTAGCATATTTACAAGACACTAGGACAAACTGCATAGGGGGAACACCTTATTTGAATACATTTTCAGTTTGCCAGATGAACAATATGCACATACACAGCTCCACCTATCTATTAGTGTGATGTCAAAGTTTAAGGTCCCAAAGAGATTTGAAGCTGTGAGGTCCATGATCAGATGGCTTCTTAGTTTTTAATTTCCTGTGATTTGGATCAGGATCACAATATGGGGGGTGTGTGTCTAGCCCTTCTCCTGCAACTTGGGTCCTGATTGAAACTGACCCTTTACACACACAGTTGATAGCTGTAGAAGGGGATAAAGACAGGCAAAGTGAGGGCACCTGTCTTTCTTCCCTTCCAGTGCATGCAGGGAAGGTTGGCTTGATTAGCAAAACTGCATGGGGTGGGGGTTGGAGAAAGGTTAAATGCCCTCTTCTCCCTTCACTGTAAACCTGTGCTGAATTGGGGTCCTGCACAGATGCTACTGCTACTTAAAAACAAGCCTCCAGCATCTCATCTGCTTTGATCCTTAAAGACTCAACTGATCCAGAATTTTTAGGTAAGGGGACTCTCCCCTTTGTGCTTCAGTGCACTTCCTGCGTGCGTGTAGAGTTGTCCTTACATGGAAATGAATAAAGATGCCCACTCAGCAAGAGTTCCTTGAGAGTATTAGAGTACCTTCACCAGCAAGGAGATGTTAAGACTAAGGAGTGAGTGTTCTCTGTCTAGCACTTCTCTTTTCAGTGGGCTGGTTATAGTGTATTTATTGTAAACATATTGTCTGAAGTGTGTTTCCATTCAGAATCCAAAAATAAAATGTAACAAAACCAAGAGAGAAGTTTGTCACACTTCTGTTATTTATGTAGTGAAGGATTATGCACTTTGGGTGGTGTCACTAGAAAGGCAGACTGCAGATGACAGTGTTTAAATCTCATTTGTTCACCTAGTAATTCTAGTTGGTTCTGCCATCCAGAATGCCACCTAGATCCAGCTACAGTGGCAAGTTAGATGCCTTTGAAAAGCTCACAAGTAGAGCATGGAAGTGAAAGCCATCTTGTTCTTTTGTCCCCATTATCTATTAGTCAGAGGCATACACCACTGAATATGGAAGTTCTAACAGCCATTGAGAGGTGAGTTCTTCCTTCCTTAAAGTTGCCTAAAAAGTGATCTAAGGCACAAACTGGGGATTACAAAAGGACACAGACCCACACTGCTGACCTCGTCTCCTAGGTAATTTTGAGTAAAATATGCATGGCACATTAATTGCTCTCAGTTTTCTCTCCTCTGCTTCACTGGCTGTCCCTTGCAAGGGGAGGACGGGATAAATTTTGCGCTAAACATCTTATGATCTCTCATCTTCTAGTGCGTTGTGGGATAGATGTGGGGTCAAGACGAACAGTAATCACATATCCCTATAACATCTAATTTGAACCTAAGCTGGTAGTCATCTCCACATCTTGTGCTGTTTAATACTAGCTGTCTGAAGAAGTATTTCCTTTAGTCTGGCATGGTTTCAATGATGCTTGGCCACTGGGAGGACAAAGAGGAAGCAGGTAACTTTTTCATAGCAGAATAGCTCTGTAGTGCTGCTCCCATTCATATTAACACAACTTGTGCAGAACTTGTATGTTTTTATTACCAGGCAATGGAACAGGCAGCGATAGGGAAAAACATTAGATTTAACAAAATAAGTCCTTTACCACCAAACAGCTGTTCCACTCAGCCTCTAGGCTCCATCAACCCTTAATGGTACTCCTTCAAATTAAGTCAGATGTAGCTATCGTAAACTGACGCATCAGAAGCCGCTGCTGCTTCTTCAGGAGTGATAAATGCCCTCCCGGATTCTCCATCGTATCATAGCCATGCACTTGGTTCTGAAGCTATCTGACCCCAACAGCTTGGACATAATGGGGATGCCAGAAATGGGTTTAGCTCAACAGCTGGGAATCAGAAGGTAATGGTTTACTTATATGGAGATCTATGTTGCTATGGCAATCCTACAGTGGACCAAAATATGACAACCATAAGCAGCCCCAGTTTGTATTTCTGATAAAAATGCAGGATCCCTGCATATAGAAAAACTCTTCACAATGAAGAGTTCTAGCCTAGCCTTTTCATTGACATCTCAGGAGTTTGCCTTCTACATGCAAGGAGAGTTGTTGGGAGAGTTTTTCGCATGACGGAACAATTCAAATATGGAATTCCCCTATTGAAGAGGTGATCCCAGGCCTGTCTCTACATCAGACATTACTCTGCTCTTTCCTCCTTTCACTCAGAAGGCACAGCCAGAACGGTGACTCAAACAGAAACATGGGGAGGGATCTTCTGAGGGAGGGTAATTTTTGCTCTTACACAGTTCAAAAATAAATCTTTTTGGTTGTGTTTAGTTTGCCTTTGCTTTCGTTCACAAAAAAGATGGCTTAGCTACCCGTGTGGGAAACAGTGTCATGGGTGTTCTTACGCTGTGTCCATGTTATCCCAGTCCTTACGGA